GGTGCTTTGTTTTGTTTTTTTTTTTTTATATCCCCCGTATGGGAACGTTTACAAACCTGATGACTCTGGGGGCGGTTGGGAGTCTCTTAAAGGGTATAGATTAGGTTTGTCCCTTTCATTATCGCTATCCTCTGTGTTTTCTCTCCTCGTCTTACACTGAGTTCTACTGGCGGGAGGAGATGTGTTTTTCCCAAGTGAGAAGCATGTGTGTGTGTGTCCCCGTGTTGTGTGAGATGAGGGGGAGAGGTTGAGAAGGTCTCAGCCTGTCTGCAGCTGATATTTGTGCATTAGGTGGCGATACAGACTGATCTGGAGGTGCGGGTGGGGGGGTGGGCTGCCGAGACCTGTGTTTGTGATGTGCTTGAGGAACTCGGTATGGGGGTGGCAGCTTTCCCCATACTTACCTCGCAGCCAGTGGTCTTAACAGGGAGCAGATGCACGCTGGCATATTCCCACACAGCCTGGCAGAATGCAGCTCCTCATTGTCCCACTCCTATTTTAGGCGAAAATGCACAGTACAACTTTATACTGACCAGAAACAAAACAAATTCGATACTGAATTCCAAAAACCGCAGTTGAGAAGTGAAAGCACTTAGGTTTCAGCCCTGCAGAGCAGCAGCAGCAGCTTGTGCTGCTTTTAAAACTGCCGGCTGCAGGAACTGGGACTCCCCTACGCCATGTGGCCGAGCGGCGACCAGCGCCGCCCGTGCGTGGCAGGAAAGCCCTGGCTGTGCTTCCCCTCTGCCCACGCCCCCCCCGCCGCTATCGGGAGCCGCTGCTGCCTCCCGCGGCACTAACGGGGTAGGTAGGAGCCCCCTCCCCCTCTCCCTGCCGCCGTTAATAATTAATAAGATTTTCTTTTTTGGTGATGAAGAAGAACAATTCAGTGTCTGGAGTTGGTGAATCCCTTGATTGAATACGCTGCATTCACATGTATCTGCCCGAGGATTTCCATGATATCCATCTCGGGTCGTTCACTCAACGATGATCAGTGCATCTCTCCAGACATGGCCCATCCCCATCTCCTGGCCGAGCCACATCCTTTTACGTGTAAATCGGGTTTCAACATACACCAGGTTTCACCTGCAAGGATGGGGGGTAGTCCTAATACAAATGTGTATACTCCAACAAATATTAAATATGACATATATCATATTAGAAATGGCGCAGATTGTATCTACTACATATAACACAATGAATCATTGTCAATTTTCCATTTCTTTAGCAGTAGATTCCTACTTCCACTATGCTTTTCTATGAAAGCATGGTTTTGTGTAGCATGCCATTTTCTAGCAAGAGACATTTTTGCAACTGAGCTCATCTGTCTCTCAGAAAAGATATTGTAAGAAGTGAAAAACATATTACTATGCAGTGACAAATGAGGAAATAAAAGAGTATGAGAAGCAGCTCTGTGATACTAAGGTGAGACAAGAAGGAGGAGGAGGTGCTCCAGCTGACAGAGCCAAGAATCCCCCACAGTCCCTGGAGGACATCATAGTGAAGCAGGTTGTCTCCCAGCAGTCCCTGGAGAACCGTGAAGGAACACATACCTACACTGCAGATCGTCTAGGGCTCCATGCCACAGCAGGTGAATGTGCCTTGAAGGAAGCTGCACCTTGTGGAGCAGAAGGGCATCCTTGAGGTCTTCTTTAGTGGAAGAGTATGTGCAAATGTCCAACAGCTGCTAACTTGAATCTATTATCTTTCCACTTATTGCCATAAGTAAGAAGACAATGTAAGAACTAGAAGCCTCAATTCTTTTGCTTGAGGCTCCCATTCTCTCTGCCACTCCTTTAAAATTTTGTTTTCTAGGAAATAAAATCCAAGAGAAAGTCCTTAAGGCTTGATGTTCAGGCTTTTCAGAAAATAGGGAGGGCAAATAACTCTTGTCACTATCATTTTTTAAAAATAGAACTAAAAAAAGTTAAATTCCTGTTTTCTAAGGACTTACGGAAAACAATTGGTAGAAGTGATGAGATTGAAGAGTATCATTAATCTGAAAAGAGACTATCATTTAGGTACCTCAGTTGTGTACAAGGTTTTTACCAGGAACTCTAGACTTTTAAACAGACTTTGGACACAATAGTTATCTCTGGGAATATTTTAGGATGTATAGTACATTCATCTTTAAATAGCGCTAGCTGGTTTATAGTTATATATTTCATTTTAAATTTGATTTGAAAAGAAAGATTGGTGATCCGATCATTTACAATTCTGAAGCATTTCAGTTGTTGACAGTTGTTGCTGTCTTCTGAGGGCAGGAAAACAACATTTGTAGCAATACTGAAACAAACTAATTGGGAAAATAGTTTCCCTCATTCTTTTCTGTCTATTCTAACAGGAACAACAGCAAACCCACTCCTGTCGCGGCGCGGCATGCGCCCCCCCTCGCCGCGATACCCCGAGCGGTGGCATGCTGGGCGGCGAGAGGGAAGAGAACAGGTGGCCGCTCCCCCCGGGGTGCTCTGCTGTCCCAGTCGGTGGCGCGGGAACAGAGGGAGGCGACACGGGACTTGGGGGTGAACAAGATGGATTTATT